CTTCTGATAAAATTTCATAAGAAAGGTTCCTATAAATTAATATTAGATACCTTTTTCTTATGAAATTTAATCTCACTCTTAACAGTCTTATTTTTAATTTCTTTATATTTTCCATAAAGCATCTTAAACGTAAAGATGAAAGCTAAGTACAAAAAAAAAAATTAAAAAATTAGAGCGCTGAAAGTTTTCCTTAAAAGTAACGAGGTAAATAATTTGTTCACTTAAATAATTTCACTTCCTTCCATCCGTAGAAAGAATTATCCTCCCGTAAGTTATCTAAACGTCATGAATGTGTCTTTCGTCACCTGTCAAAAGGCGCGAAAGGTTATGACCTGCTTTGTTTTATTTTCAAATTACATTTTTTTCGGCGCAGAAGCAAAGTTAAGCAAAATATTTTAAATAAACAGTATAATTTCTGTTTTTATTAAAATCAGTTTTGAAAAAATGATAATTGATTTTTAAAAGAATATCAAAGTAAGATTTTCATCTTTTTTTATAAAATGGAAAAAAATGATTGAAAATGATGGATTATCTGTCCATTTTTTTGACAAAGAAAAACAATATTTTTAACGAAAATTTCAGACGTGCTAGGAACGATTAAAAAATGTAAAAAAATGCCCCCAAAATACTTTGATCTTTCCTCTTTAATAATAATATGAACATTAAACGATAAAATTTTGTTTTCGTCAAGTTCGGCGATTTTTTCATCATGCTATGCTCTTTGTTTACATTTTCGTGGAGGTACTTATGTTAAGAGGCAGTTTATATGGATAGGATTGATTTGTTTGTTTAACGCTATATCAACTCCTTTATGGGTCACTTAATGCCGAAATTTAAATTCAATTTTCTTGTGAGCTTTGAAGTAATAAAAATATGATATAGGTTATTCTGCTTTCACAGTTGAATACATGGTAGATAATACTCAGCTTTTGTGCATGTATATGTTTGTGTGGACATAATTTCTAGAAACGGTGATATGTCAGCTTTATATTGCAGTTTAGCTGAAGATATATTTTGGAATACTGTTTGAAGATCTTGAAGAAATTGTAGGATAATTTATGGATTAATGTCATAAAAGAGTTCTATCATGCAGATAATTCACTTTAAATAGGTATGGTAAGTGATACTACTATAAATATATATTGTTGGTAATATTTTATATAAAAGTATATCGCTGGTATTTATTTAAAGAGTGAAGTACATATTTCGATGTGTTAAGATTGACAAGTCATTTCCTACCCCAGTTAACAACAGAGTGAAACCACTAACGAGATCAGTCGAATATTTGGCGTTATCGAACGTATCAGACTTAACATTAACACAGGTGACAATACGTCGGCAGAGATACAGCCTCAAGAACCGATGAAGTAATATATACACTTGAGTATGACATTATTCACATTATTCAGACTATTGTCCTCATCTTTGTCGCCATATTTATTACAACGTTTCGACCGTTCAGTATCTGTCTATATTTCTGAGATGAGGTATTATGTACACTATTTACATTATTCGGACTATTGTCCTCATCTTTGTCGCCATATTTATTACAACGTTTCGGCCTTTCAGGATCTGTCTATATTTCTGAGATGAGGTATTATGTACACTATTTACATTATTCGGACTATTGTCCTCATCTTTGTCGCCATATTTATTACAACGTTTCGACCGTTCAGTATCTGTCTATATTTCTGAGATGAGGTATTATGTACACTATTTACATTATTCGGACTATTGTCCTCATCTTTGTCGCCATATTTATTACAACGTTTCGGCCGTTCAGTATCTGTCTATATTTCTGAGATGAGGTATTATGTACACTATTTACATTATTCGGACTATTGTCCTCATCTTTGTCGCCATATTTATTACAACGTTTCGGCCTTTCAGGATCTGTCTATATTTCTGAGATGAGGTATTATGTACACTATTTACATTATTCGGACTATTGTCCTCATCTTTGTCGCCATATTTATTACAACGTTTCGGCCCTTTCAGTATCTGTCTATATTTCTGAGATGTGGTATTATGTACACTATTTACATTATTCGGACTATTGTCTTCATCTTTGTCGCCATATTTATTACAACGTTTCGACCGTTCAGTATCTGTCTTTATTTCTGAGATGAGGTATTATGTACACTATTTACATTATTCAGACTATCGCTTTCATCTTTGTCACCATATTTATTACAATGTTTCAGCCGTTGTACGCTCCGGCCTTCTTCAGGTGGTTTGAATGTCGAATTGAACCCTTTATTTCCCTCACTGGGGAAGAGTGTTCTAGTTCCACATGCCATGTCTAATGGATGTCAGTTATCAGTTATCTTCTGTTAATTCCCTCTCGAAGTTCTCCACTGCCTTAACAGGGCATTGGAATCGCACTCTTTGGGTCCTGTCACTGGATCTAACCAACGCATTTATCCAGTGTGCAATGTTAGCAAAATAATGGGTTCCGTTCGACATCAGTTAATACATCATCTCAGAAATATAGACAGAT